TCTCAATAAAACATTGGTACAATGTCCCATAAAAACATAGGAATAACATTATCAAATCAACGTTCGCAAAATGTTATGAGGATATCATTGAGGCCTGAGTTGATGGAATGTTTTTTATAAAACGTTCTTGTAATGTGACGTGTTTAACAAAACTAGAACATTTTAAATTTAACATTTTGAGGATGTTGATGAGGTAAAGGTTTGTAGAATGATCTTTTATAAAACATTGAAACAATGTCCCATAATAACAGAGGAGGAACATAATCAAATTAACGTTCGCAAAATGTTTTGAGGATATTATTTAGTCCTGAGATGATGGAATGTTTTTTATAAAATGTTCTTGTAATGTGACGTGTTAACAAAACTAGAACATTTTCACTGTAACATGTTGAGGATGTTTTGGGAATGTTGTTGAGATAACAGATATTACAATGTTCTCAATAAAACATTGGTACAATGTCCCATAAAACATAGGAATAACATTATCAAATCAACTTTCGCAAAATGTTATGAGGATATCATTGAGGCCTGAGTTGATGGAATGTTTTTTTATAAAATGTTCTTGTAATGTGACGTGTTTAACAAAACTAGAACGTTTTAAATGTAACATTTTAAGGATGTTGATGAGGTAAGGTTTGTAGAATGATCTCTTATAAAACATTGAAACAATGTCCCATAAAAACATAGGAATAACATTATCAAATCAACGTTCGTAAAATGTTTTGAGGATATTATTTAGTCCTGAGATGATGGAATGTTTTTATAAAATGTTCTTGTAATGTGGCATGTTAACAAAACTAGAACATTTTCACTGTAACATGTTGAGGATGTTTTCGGAATGTTGTTGAGATGACAGATATTACAATGTTCTCAATAAAACATTGGTACAATGTCCCATAAAAACGGAGGAGGAACATTATCAAATCAACGTTCGCAAAATGTTATGAGGATATCATTGAGGCCTGAGATGACTGAATGTTTTTTAATAAAATGTTTGTAATGTGACGTGTTTAAACATTAACACTGTAACATGTTAAGGATGTTTTGGGAATGTTGTTGAGATAACAGATATTACAACGTTCTCAATAAAACACTGAAACAATGTTCCATAATAACAGAGGAGGAACATTATCAAATCAACGTTCGAAAAATGTTTTGAGGATATCATTGAGGCCTGAGATGATGGAATGTTTTTATAAAACATTCTTGTAATGTGACGTGTTAACAAAACTAGAATGTTTTAAATGTAACATTTTGAGGATGTTGATGAGGTAAAAGTTTATAGAATGATCTTTCATAAAATATTGAATGTAGGCCTACCATAATAACAGAGGAAGAACATAATCAAATTAACGTTCGCAAAATGTTTTGAGGATATTATTTAGTCCTGAGATAATAAAATGTTTTTAATAAAACATTCCTTTAAATTGACTTTTTAACAAACATTTTGCATGATAGCCTACATTTTGAGGATTTTTTGTCGAAATGTTGTTATCTTTTATAAATCATTGGCACAATAACAAAGGAGGAACATTATCAAAGCAACATTCATCAAATGTTTTGTGGACATTTACCTGAGATGACAAAATCTCATAATATATGTTAACAAAAGCTCATAAAATTGTAAGGATATTTTAAGGAAGCTGTTTAGGTAACAGATTTTAGAATTATTTTAACCTATAGAATAATGGCATAATTTTCCATAATGAAAGAGGAACATTGTCAAAACAGCATACGGTAAAGTGTTTTGAGGATATATTAGGCTACTCTGAACTGAACTGTTGCGACAAATGCGTTTACAAGAGATGAGAAGCTGATTGGAGGTCGCTGTAGATCGACGTTTAAAACCACCAATCAGAGCGCGATGTTCCCATGACGTAAGAACATTTGAACTCGACAAACAGCGCAAATAAAGCAACGTTTCTGTTGAAGAAATCGACGCAGAATGTCCGTTGTCTAAATTGGCGACACATTGGCCCAAAACAACAGAACTCCTGGTCAACGGAACTCTTTCACAACTGTAAGTTTTTGTGTGTATTTTTTTCAGTTTACATAGCTTTCTCTTATCCTTGATGTCTTTCAGTATTAGACCTAACTTTCTACTTTCTTAGAATTGTATGACAGTCGCAATAAATCTGAGTGTATGCTACTTTTGAATAACAGCTAGATTTGTTTTAATGCAGACTCCAAACGGACTGTTTCAAGATGATTAACTTACCGATGACACAATAAAGTCTCCATTTACAACCAAGGTAGCCTACTATGATACCGGTATTGTGTTCTATGCATACGAATACTGTATTTTTACTTAAAAGTGATCTTAATGTCTTTTGAAAGTAAAAGTTAATAATAATTCAGTAATTCATATAACGTTAGAGGTTAACGTTAATGAATTGGAAAGAGCGTTTCTCAAGGCTTCAGGTGTATATAACATTCTTCTTTCAGATGAATACTATCTGAGTTATATTTAAAAAAATGTCCTGACTCTTCTGACTTTTAGAATGGCAGTGAATGGCCGTCTATCAAGGCGCATCCATCCATGATAAAAGTAATCCACCACATGACTCTGGCGGGGTTATAAAGCCCCTTTAAAGCGAAGCATTTGTGTAAGAAAAATATCCATTTTTAAAACTTTATTGGATTAAGATATTGGATACATGGATTAAGTATGTTTTAAATTACAGAAACAAAAAAGATACTCATAATTTATCATATTTATACTTTCAATAAATTAGCCTTTATATAATGAGCCTTTACATCTGACTGCTAATTAGGCTGGCTAATTTTGAAAGTTTTCAATGTCAATAATGTATGTGTATTCTTTATGTTTACACTTTTGCATGATCTTCTTTTTTAGGCTATGAGGAAAAACTCTACCGTGCACACAGAGAACAGAGCTCAATGCTAACTGGGGGAGCAGCTGGACAACTAGAAGAGAGAATAGTAGAACACTATTATTAATACAGATTCCTGGATTATTTTTCTGCAAGAACCAAAACAAGCAAAGACTGATGATGAGTGCTCTGAGCAAACACTGGAGTCAAGACGCATGAGTGACTTTACTGAGTTCTTCATGTAGCTAATGTTGGGCATTTACTGTACGCAGAACTTCTAATAATTTATGTGGATGCCATTTATAAACCTGTTAGATTTTGATGTTTTAGTTTTGAGATTAATAAAATGTTATGCTTTAACAATGTTATAGCTAATCATTTTTGAGGGGTTTTAAGAGAACATTTTGGGAACAAATGTTAGCATTTAACATATTTAGAATTTTTTTAGAGAATGTTATTAGAACTTTTAAGAGAACATTCTGGGAACAAAAAGAAAACTACCTGCTGAAAGTGTTATAAAAACATTAGGGAATAATGTTCTAACAATGTTAGCAATAAACATATTTAAAATGTTTTTAGACAATGTTATTAGAACTTTTAAGAGAACATTCTGGGAACAAAAAGAAAACTACCTGCTGAAAATGTTATAAAAACATTAGGGAATAATGTTCTAACAATGTTAGCAATAAACATATTTAAAATGTTTTTAGACAATGTTATTAGAACTTTTAAGAGAACATTTTAGGAACCAAAAGAAAACTACCCGCTGAAAATGTTATAAAAACATTAGGGAATAATGTTCTAACAATGTTAGCAATAAACATATTTAAAATGTTTTTAGACAATGTTATTAGAACTTTTAAGAGAACATTCTGGGAACAAAAAGAAAACTACCCGCTGAAAATGTTATAAGAACGTCAGGAAATAATGTTCTAACAATGTTAGCATTTAACATATTTAGAATGTTTTTAGAGAATGTTATTAGAACTTTTAAGAGAACATTTTAGGAACCAAAAGAAAACTACCCGCTGAAAACATTATTGGAACACTGCATGGTAATGTTCTCAGAACATTTTTAGAACAAAAAAATCCTAGCTGGGGTAGCCTACAGATAAATGACATGTCATTTGTTATACTGCGGTTTGGAAGTGTGGCTGTGTTTGCACAAAAAACAACAATAATTCAAAATGCAACAAATTGTAACACCCTTTCTTCTTCTTCTTCTCTCTCTCTCTCTCTCTCTCTCTCTCTCTCTCTCTCTCTCTCTCTCTCTCTCTCTCTCTCTCTCTCCCTCTCTCCCTCTCTCTCTCTCACTCTGAGAAACTGGTTTGAGCGGTTTTGTCCCTGACTGTTTTTGTCCGATAACATCATGACAAATAGAAATGGAATAAGTCATTTTTCTTCTTATTTTTTTTTTTCCATGCAACTTTTCATTTTCAAATGTGTCCATGACATATTCCCACACAGCGTTTAGCAGGTTATATCTTGTTCATGTTAGTCAACGCCTGGCTTGTTCTCTGTCCTTTTTTTCTTTGTGTTTCAGGGACTTATTTCTAACAGCTCAGGGCTTGAGGAGCGTTTGACAGATGGCTGGAAAGTAGAGTCATCGATGCACATGTACCAACCCGCTGCTAACGGTGGCCTATCCCTCCTGCATGTGGCCCTCTATTGTCTAGCAAACTGCTGTCGTCATGTGTTTGGTGGGTTACCAGGGATTCAGAGATCTGTTACCCATCGGACTGGTTGGACCACCCCAAAAGCTGACGGGGTGGAGCCGCCTTGTAAATATGAGCACTTGAAGTGTCACTCATGATAAAGTGTCTAGTAAGCTAAAGGTGAGAAAAATATTTTTTTTTCCCACCTATTTTCCAGAAAGTGCTGCCAAATCCTTCTTAGAACCAGTAATAAGGAACCATGCAGAGCAACTAATAAACAAGCAGTAGCAGTGCAAATACGTAGCTTCAGCTTCAATATTTTCCAAATTATTAGTGAGTCCACACTGCATATGAGGGTATTAGTTTGTGGGGTGTACACATACATTTCTGTCAAATGGATTTTTCTATATTCAAGCCAGCATGAGTCTTTAATAACATTTCTTCAATAAAAGTTTGTCTGACGCACCGGTCATTCGAAAATTGCTTGAAAGCAAAGCTAAATCAATCTTACCCTTGTTCTCGGTTTTGCAGGTAGCGTCTGAAGAGGACAAAAGCTGTAAACATAAAAACAGATTTTTATTTTAGTTTTTGCATTACAAGGCTTGGCATTGTTACATCATAAGTCTCCGAACCGAACGACCTCACAGAATGCCTCGTGTTGCCGTTTTTGGTCAAATAAACCAGGACGTTCAACACACATCACTAAAGTTTGGCTTGACAAGAATTTGGCCCACAGATTTAGATTCAGCGAGTTTGTAAAGAACACACATACATATTCCATATAACATAACATATTCCGTAAAATGTATAACTATAATTAAAAGGAAGTGTTCTTGCATTTGCAACGTGATCTCATTACTTGTAGGTATTATATGCAAAGTTTATTTATGGCACAAGCTTTCATACATTTGCATAGGCACTGAAATGTACTTTACTATCGAATTTTATACATGAACTACAACATGTTTATGAATCATTTTGAATTTATAAAATATTCAATTCAATTAATTAATAGGTTGATTTCAATGTATTACATTTAATGACAATAATTTAATCACTAAAAATATCTATATAACAGTGTATTGTGACTAAAATGGCATATTGTGTTTTATTATGCCATTTAACTACATCAATTTAATGGCATTTATTAAATATGTTCTAATCTGTATATTCTGTGTTTTATATTGTCAATAAGCATGTTTACAGAATAGGTGAGGTTAGGGGTTAAATATATATATATATATACCTAGGCCTACGCAATTTGTATTTTGAAAATGAATCAAACAGTAATATTTTTATGACCCTAACCCTAAATACTTTAACTTTATATAAGCTGTCATTATGTCCATATTGTACATTTTGGTGTACATCCAAAAAAACAACATGTAAATGTTATACAAATGCCTACGATACGAATACTAATGAGATCAAGCTGCCATTTGCTTGAAAGGAAGTACAGCTCATACAAACAGCTCAGATATTTCATGTAAAATTGAACTACATCTTGAAATTATTTGAAGATATTTACACACACTATTTGTGAAAGCTAAAAGCACGACTTTATAGCACACAAGTCGTCTAGTAAATGCCCGTTTACCTACCTACAATACACACAATGACCAGAATTGTGACGCTAACAGCCGCTATGATGATTACCAAGGTTCCACCTACAAATTAACAATAAAAACAAGGAGGATGTACATTAAATTTGTGCACATATTCATTTGACGCAAGTCTGAAATATGAATTAATCCATATAGAAGAATTTGATGGGGTTTTTTTTGTTTTTTTACCTCCAGCTTCGTCTCCTCTGGATTTATCTAATCCAGGAATTTCTTGAGGACCTGGAATTTCTTGAGGACCTTCTGATTCAACAATATGTACCCCATTTCTTGCTGGAAAAGAAATGCAAACACAAGGATGATATTCATGGATTGACTGTTATTGCATCAACAATGGTATGTTTAATGTAACAAATTAATGTGTTCAAACAGGGACCCATACAGCTTTTTACTATATTGTGAATGTTTTCTGTGCCTCTAGTGGCAATAAATGGAGGTGCTAAAAAAAATACGATTGTTTTTAAGCAGATTCCCCAAACATTTCATCATCTGTCGTGGCCTGGTGTATCATTGAGAATGAAACGTGCCCTGGAAATCTCGTATTTGAGGCGTTGTTTACGAATGCCCAGAGCCGTATTATTGGGTGCTACGAATGTCTATCAAATGCGCCTGTACGTCTATCAAATGTGCCTGTGCTCCCTCCCCATTCTGTGATTGGGGAAACCCAGTCTACATCTGTCGTTGGTCAGCCACATTTTTCTTTTTCTGTCTATGGCTTTTCAAAATGATATCTGCCACATCACTGTAAAAAAAAAGAAAAAAGTTGCTGCCTTACATTTTTAAGTACAATCAACTTGGGTGTTTAAGTAATTTCAACTTAAAATACATTAAACTTACTTGAAAATGAGTTCAATTTTGTTCAACATTTTTACCACAGTTTTAAATCCAATGCCAGATTTGCACCCATATAAGCAGCACAGCTCGATGTATCTAGGCCACATCTCTGAGCCAATTCTTCTTGTTAATCACTGATATTTCTTTAGTCTTTTCTAGGAAATTAGCTGGGAAATGAATCACAATTCCGATCGTGGATCCCTCCATATCACCTCCCACCCCTCCCATCTGCCTCTGGCCAGAGCTGGTGAGCAGGGCTTGCTTTAACAGCTCAGTAATTCTATCAGAGAGCAATCATTCTGCTAATGAAGACGGACAGCTCCTCGCACAGGAGAGCTGAATGAGACTGCCAACGTCCATTAAGGGGACGGACAGGGGTGTGGACGGAGCCGGGGCTATCAGCGGCGCACTGCTGGGACACGCTAATTGATTGCTTTCAAGAATTAATGTGGCGAATGAGCTGGTCACGTCTTACAGTAACAACCTGTCTTCATGTCACATGTGCGACTGGAGAGGAATACCCACCTTCCCTAATAAAATCCCCATCACCATCCTCATCGTCACCTAGGTAAATGAGATAAAGTATATAGAAAAATACATTAAAAATAAATCTGTGATGGTTATTTACCAAACTATATGCCAAAAAAATAAAAAAATAAGGACAAACAAATATATTATTTTGCATTGAAATAAAAAACCTGTTTATTTGTTTTTGTTTTTTGTTTCAGCTGCACTGAAACTGTCTTTTGGACCTTGAACCATTTGGTTCCCAATGAAGTCTATTATATGGAGAAAATACTGGAATGTTTTCATCAAAAACCTTAATTTCTTTTCGACTGAAGAAAGAAAGATGCGGATATCTTGGATGACATGGGGGTGAGTAAATTATCAGCAAAGTGAACTACTCCTTTTAAGCAACCCCTCCTCCCCAAAGTCATTGTTACAACTCTCTGATTTCCCCCATTAAAATCCCATTAGATTCTCCTTGTTATAGTATTTTAATAATCAATTTATTTAAATCACAGAAATCAAGGGAAGTACAACATGTTATCAAGTTTTAATTTCAATGTTATTTTTTATTTAATATGCATATTACATTAAAGTAAAGAGAAAGAGATTTTGGGGAAAAAAAAATTGCACTTAATTGTCAGAAAATATGAGAGGTCATACCATCAGCTCCTGAAGAATTCCCTTCTGTGTCTTCTGATGTTGCAGCTGTTCATTCGAATACATAAATAAGAGGTTAAGGATATAACCAATTATTATAAAGGAAACAACCGAGTGTCTTCAGAGGTTATTCCACTGCAAGATAGTGAAGTTGAAACAGCTCCATTTTGAAATTATTAGTTTAACATAGCATTTCATTTGAAAAAACTGTTTTCAAGGCATTTTGGTTGAAAAGTGTCTGCTAAATGGCGAGTAACAGGGAGATTGGTTCACAGGCCTGTCACTGATACAGATACTTTAGACAGACATGAGAAGTAAAAGATGGATTGAGGCCAAAAATAAACATCTGAATATAAGACAGAGAGATTTTAGATCAAAGAAGGATAGAATAATATAAGCGAACTTACCTAAACCTTGAAGAATCAAAAACAGAATGAGTAAACGCAGCATCTTCTTGTTCTGGGAAAAGAAAGAAAGGAATTAATTAACACTATCTACATTTCTCAATAACTTTGATACACAGTCAACCCAAGTGAACCCGGCCTATGTGTAACCTAGATAAATACTGATAGAAAAACGTTCTCTAATCTCAAACAGATACACAGTAATGTATTACACCATGGCTGTTAATAAACAACTAGGAATATAATCAGTCTCGAGTGAAAACTGACTAAATAACCAGAATAAACAGTACAAATTCACCAGAAGTCAGTATGTCGCCTTGATCTAATCCGGAATTTACTAAGGGCTGACTCATGTTTCATGATTTGTCAACTTTGTGGTCAAGAAAATTTTTTTGGGGGGGAATTTTCAAGGACGAAAACCTAGTAGACCCAAAAAAAACCTAAAATGTATTGACCATTCATGGAGCCTAAAAAATACTGCAACAAACCGACATCACTTGTGGAAATGAGAGATCAAAATTGGCCAAAAACTGGAGCTGAATAAAAACCCCAGAAATGGTCTTGCGAAGTCGCAACTGCACAACATTCTCGCAATCTTAAACTTAAACTGAAGGCAGGCAGAATTTGAGACATTTGAATAGGAATGTAAAGAAATTTGCCCCCTCTTTTCCTGTAACGGTAAGAAGTGATTCATTTCAGACTTGCATGTCATTTATGAACCTGTCTTAGACCTATATGATTTAACAGCCTTCATTGTGAAACCATCTGACAAGCTGCCAAATGACTTTAATCAATAAAACTAAAACACAAATAGACATGTACAGAAGGAGGAACGTAGCCAATTATGTTCAAGACTTTACTTCCACATGGTGCCTTTCCCAAAACGGCCAGTTGATCATAATCTAGGCAGATGTTTGACACACACAGCTGGCTGAGTGCAGCTTCCGCTGGCTGTGCCTCTTAACAATTACACCTATTTATTTTAGTTCCCACTTATGGACTAGGAAATGGGAACTATAGCCTGGGAATGACCTTTTCCTGAGTTCTGTTTAAAATGGTTAAATATAGCAGAGTATTATGCCATACAATCAAATAAGTGCTACAGTGCCCAAGGTCCAAATTCCCCTTCTGTGGCCTGCATATCAATCTCGCCTCTACTCTTCATCCAGATATTGTTATTGGTGCCCATTGTGTTGGGCTTCCACTTCCTGCGACTTTAACAAAATCTGGGATCTCCATGCAGGGAAGTGACACCAGGACTTTATACACCTGCTTTCTCCATTTACTGTACTTTCTGCTACCCCAACTGGATGTTCACTTTGTAGGCTATGGTTTCCTTAGCTGTGCAAAGCTTGTGACTATATATTTTAAAAACAATAGGCTTATCATTTATAATTTAATCAAAGTCATATTTTTGCAGAAACAATTTGAATGAATAAACTATCTATAATAGAACAGAGACATTTAGACAACGACAACATGAAATTATCTCAATCAGTTGAAAAGATATTCCAACGATCCATATGAGGTGTGGATCCTGTTCATGTGGTGTGGAATATAGCCTAGCTCTCCTGCAAAGATTTATATCTGAAAGTGCACCATATGAAGAGTTCAGATGCAAAAGCCTCTAAATGCCAATTGAAATTTTCTTCTAAAATGATCATTTTTATCAAGCTTGTATATTTAAGTTCAGTAAGTTCACTTAAATGGCAATAAAGATTACCTATTAATTGTCATTTAAGTGGAATTACTGAACTTAAATATACAAGCTTGATAAAAATGATCATTTTAGAAGAAAATTCCAAATGGCATTTAGAGGCTTTTGCATCTGAACTCTTCATATATAAAGTTTTTGTCTTTCAAAAGTGAGTCGACTCTGAGTCTATGAAATGAATTGTTTTTGAAACGAGTCATTAGCTGTTTCGTAGTGATGTAGATACGAAACCATAGACTGTAAAAAATATGGACAAAGTGTCTGTGACGTCACCCATAGACTCTCTGAGGAACGGGTTTGAGGCTGTTTATGGGGGGTATGGGCGGCGCCATTATGGAAAATCTTGGAAAATACTAAAGTTTTAGAAAGGATACAGAGTTGTTATGATGTGTTGTGTCAGATCTTGGCCGAGACGTCAAATTCACTCGGCGCAGCCCGTTATCAGCTGTCAATCAAAGTTAAACGGCCTTATTTGTCATAGCCTACATTTTATATCTAAATATGATCTAAACCAACGAGTTTGAAAAAAAAAAATTGGATAGAGCGTCTTTTGTAGTACTGCTGTGCTTTATCAATACAGTATGTTTATGCATTGGGCTAACAAACAATAACTGACTGGGTCATCTGACCAATCACCGCCAATTAGCGTCACGCTAAAGAGTGGTTTGGAAAAATGAGTCGTGGTTTGAATCATTTGGGAGTCGGTGAGCAAATCAGGTAAAAATAAATGCATATTATAAGACAACAAACGTGTTTTTTTGTCATTACATTCATGTAAAACTGTTGTTGGGGACTCCCAGAACAATATTAGGAACATTTTAAATGCCATAATAGGTGCCCTTTGATAATGCAATGAGAAAAAGTACAGTTTTGGATTAACTGATTAACTTTGGCATTTGGGTGTGCACGTTTTATAATTCTCTTAGTTCAGAAATTAAAATCCTTAATAGCGTTAATAATATTTTACATTTAATGTATTCTCAAGAATAACATATATTTCTATATAAACTTATATAAAAAATCATGACCTACCTAGTCATTTCATTTACAAGGTGTGTATATTTAAAAAAAAAAAAAAATTGCAATTTAACCCAACAATTTAACATTGATTCGTGCTGAAGTTTAAACGTGCTGCGTAACAGCAGGATGAACCTCACTGGTTCCAATACGTCAAGCAAGCATACTTGAGCTTCTGTTTACCATATCTGACATGGTCATTGATAAATGTTTATATATGAATATAAGTCTAAAGGAAACCTGTTCATCATAAAAAGTGATAGAGTCTCATCAGAAAATTGTATTACCGTAAAACTTAAAACAATAGCCCAGGCTTTTATTTTCCAAATCGTCGAACTGCACCTGCTTGTATTTGAGACAGGCGTCTATATGAGACAGGCCGTTATAATTTAGAGTTGAGATGTTGTTCATTGATTGTGCAGGCGTAGTCTCTAATTCTAATCTCTAAAAATCTCCAAATGTTCCAAACGTAAAACTGCGGTCTTTCCATAGACTGTAAAAAAAATATGGACAAAGCGTCTGTGATGTCACCCATAGACATAGACAGAGGTGGTATGATGTGTTGTGTCAGATCATGGCCGAGATGTCAAATTCCACTCTACGTAGCTCGTTATCAGCTGTCAATCAAAGTTAACCACCCTTATTTGTCAAATATGAATTTATCTAAATATGATCTAAATCAACGAGTTAGGAAAAAAAAAAAATCACTCCCCTCACAGTTGTCAGGCACTCGATAAAAGTACAATAAATATGATAAAAGTCCATGGGACCAACCTGTAAAGATATGAATTTATGCTGTGAAAACGGACATTTTAACAAGGGGTCTATGGACATTTGCTCCCTTTTTTGGACCTCCCTCTAGCGGATTTTAGATGTACATGTATTGCACTCCCGGGTAGGCTTTTTCAGATTACAATGCTGCCGCTTGGGTCTTTCGACCTTTTACTATCGTGTCGATTTTGATTAATATGCACAAGGGTTTTAGTAGATTAAATAACTAAAAAAAACTGACCAGGCCTCCATTTGAGACTGGGTTTTGTTTGCCCAAATCTGCAACCACACCAGACATCTAAAATATTCAGCCGTCTATTTGGGACTTGGCTATTATTTGAAGTTTTACGGTAACTTTGTGAAGCAACAAAGTGGTATGCGCAAGGACAGTCAATGGAGGGACAGAAATCTCTTCAACCCGCGGATTACAAAAACAACCCGCGGCAACAGTATAAAAGTAGCCCAAATCAGCTGGAAAACAACAGCCTTGGCAAGGCTGGGTAAAAAGAAGTTAGACTTTCCATTTCAGTGGTATATAGCGAATATCCCAACATATTGTACATTACACTGCTGAGAGCAGCATTTAGATGAATTTAAATATGTGCTGTGGGCTTTCAATAATGAGAGCAACACAAAACAAAAATGCCAGATAGTTTGCTTTGGCAAACAGTTTCAAACTACCAGAACAAACTTCGTTTTGGTCTTTTGTTCAAAATGACGTCACACAAGTTAATTATTAGTTTTCACGTGAAGCATCATGGCCTTTACTGCTTAACAGAGATAAGCTGTGTTTTGGTGACGTGTGAACTTGTCATTAAACACTAAATACTGACAAATGAGCTTTGTTTGTACAGTACAACAACCTATGAATACTCAGAACTGTGCTGAGAGGAGAGTTTGCTTTGACCCTAACAAAGCTATATTTGATAGTCTAATTAGCAAATTATCAAAAGCAAATTATGAACCCAGCCTGGAACACTTTGTCCTAATTACATTGTCATGTCTTCAACTGTGGCTTACGTGTCTTAAATGTGTTCAAAACTACTAATAAGTGAAAATTAAAGTAGTATCGTGGTAGTGATACCATGTCTGTCTTAATTATAGGCTGTCTTAGGCAAACACATCCCTAAGGGACTGCAGTATCTGTGCAGAAGCCAGAAAGAAAAACAGACTGGCTCTGTAAAGAGAGAGAGAGAGAGAGAGAGATTGCGGTGGCTTTACTCGTAATTTGGAATTTCCACGCTCAATTCAGGTCGTCACGGCAAGAGAGATTCTCTCAATTAAGCTGTTAATCAGAAGATGTGGGACTGGTTGTCGGAGCAAGCACAATCCAAGCTTGTAAAAATGTGACAGCAAATCTCCCATCAACAGTAACCTACAGCCGTCTGAAACCCCCTCAGACCCCCTCCCCAAATTCCAATTTGGTGCGCCCTGCTGCCTCGGAGAAATAATAAGCTGAACCAATTTGAAAATATTTATCAGTGCAGTCCAACGCCTGCGAGTTACAGTCCTCCTGAAGCTTGTGTTGCTGAACAATTGGCTAATATATCTGC